CTGCCTAACTCCTGCTGTCAAAGTGGCTCATTGACGCTATTTTGAGAAGCACTGTCAATGTTGTTCTCATCGTATTCTCCTTCTGTTTCCACAAAGTCTTCCCTGTTTTCACAACTTATTGGTCATTTCAGCGAGCGCTGTCAAGGAGTTACGCTGGATGGCTTATGAGCTCCCATCGCTTCTGCTCTACATCCAGTCCCTAAACGTCCCCCTCATCTCCCAGTGGCTAGCATTGTGCTCTGCGCATAGCAGGCCCACAGTGTCACCTGCCAAGGACACTGACGCTATTCCAGCGAGAAGTGTCTGAGGTATATGCAGAAAGTGGAGGAAGGCCATTCACCGTTATGGAGACACAGAAAGTGTGCAAGGCAACCACTTCCCAGGTGCTCGACCTTGACTTTCCCAGAGCCTCAGTTCATTGCAACCACGGAGCGGAGCTAATAATAGCACCTATCAGGTAAAGTTATGGAGATTAAATAATATATGCAAAGTACATAATATCTAGAACATTTTGATCAGTACAGGCTTCTATTTTAGACATGTGGCTAGGCACTGTTGCCTCTCTAGGCATCATTTCAACAATCCAGTAAAAATGCCTGTGAGTATTCCTACTGGATGGGTGGGGATAGAGATACAGGTAGGTTGCCCAAGGTCACAAGTGGTCAGAGGGACAGCAAGAGTTAGAATCCAAATCACTCCGGCTTTATATGTCTTGCCATCCAGCACCTTTGTAGGAACCAAGCACTAGATTGGAGACCCAGGACAGAATCCAATCTCCAGGTTTAGCTTAGTTTCGATCCTGTTGTGGTTGTTTTTATCTGTACACTGAACTTCACTGACTTCACACCATTGAGCCTACCTCAAGAAACACGAATCCCTCTGTGTTGGCCTTTCTGGTTAAGACACTGAGTATTGCGACTCTCTATATGTGTGTTACAAACATGCATTGACACATGAGCACAACACAGCCCTTCACAGAGATACAAGACTGAGAAAAACCTATCTGAAGACTGGTAAGTGGATATCGCAGAGTGTTATCACACAAACTAGAATGGCTAGAGCGGGGCCAGCTTTGTGGCAAGGCAAGGTAAGCCACCTCCTTCAGTGCCAGCATCCCATATGGATGATAGTTCATGTCCCAGCTACTCCACTTCTGAGCCGTGTACTCACTAATGTACCTGGGAAAGCAGGAGACGATGGCCCGGTGCCTGGGGCCCAAGTGCTTGGTCCCCTGTCCCCATGTGGGAGACCCAAATGAAGCTCCTGGCTCCTGGCTTCAGCTTAGCCCAGCCCTGGCCATTGTGGCCATCTGGGGGTATGAACCAGTGAATAGAAGATTCTCTTTTTCTCTCCCTTTCTCCCTATGCTTTTGCCTTTCAAATAAATAAACCAAAAGAGGAAAAAAGATGACCACAATGTACCAGGAGATACAGTCTTATGAAAATGTGGCCCAGTATGCAACCTGCTGACAAATGCCTTTATGTGGCACATATGCATGTGTGCATATAAGCATATTACAAACATATATATATATATAAACCTAGTTATTTACAGCTGTAAACCTTTATTACAATGTTCGTGCATATATGTGTGTGTATATGTGTACATATTCTCTATGTATGAACAATATATGTAAGAACAACTTAATAGTTATTAACAAGTATGAGCCTGTCATGGACCACTAAGGGAATCAATCTCTCACTTGTCTCAGTGTCAGTCACAGAGCCCATAAGCTTTGTGGGGGCCGAATTTCCCCCAGTGGGGGCAGCCAAGAGTCAGGGTACCAAGCTTCGTCCACAGCGATCCCCCACCCCTGGCCGAGTGAACAGTACCTTCAGCTGTTGTCACCACTGGGCCACACGAACAAACACAGACTCGTTTTTCACACTGGAGCTTTCAGTGGGGATGCCAGACAGGACCCCTGGTGCAAACTGAAGCCTGGAGAAGGTTTCAAATGGAAGGGGGACTCGTGACAGCAGAGAGCTCACATGTCCGGCAGACACAGTGGCTTTCAGAGGGACCATTCCCTGCCATTGGATGCACCTGCACCTCAGAGAGAAGCCTCTTGCCTAACTGGCCTCCTGCTCAGGTAAGAACCATTCATTCCCCCTCTGCTGCTGACCAAGCACCAAGGCTGCAAGAGGCACCATGGAGACACAATAGTGGGCAAGGTGCCTCTGTACTCACTCAAGCTGAGCAGCAGACAAGGGCAAAACATATGCTGCTGACAGATGAAAGTAGTAGGAAGGACTAATCAAACGTAAACAGATCTGTGGGGATGAGAAGGAGCTGATAGCATGGAAAGCAGAGAGGAGCATCCCACTAAGTGCCAAGGCCCTGAGCACGCAGGAGAGGCAGCAAGGCTGACCACCATGGCTGCCAGGCAAGCAGCAAGGGACTGACGGGAACCAGGAATCTGCGGGGTCGGTACACGCAGAGAGAACATGAGACCTTGTGAGGGACAAGGGAGACCTCTGAAGATGGGCAAAAAGCCAGTGAGGGCTTTGTGCCCCTGGGGGCTTGGGTTACAGTCCCCAGAGGCTAATGTCGAGAGGGACTCCCCAAGCAGAAACGAGAAGGAGGGTGGGCAAGGAACAGGACAGAAGGAAAAATGAGGCTATGTTGGCATGCTGCTAGGGACACCTGGCACCCATCAGCAGAGTCCCCGTTCGGCTTCCTATTCCAGTACCCTGCTACCGCACAGCAGCAGGTGATGGGCAAGTGCCTGGGTCCCTGCCACCCAGGTGGGAATCTAGGATGGAGGTACTGGCTTTGGTCTGGTTTAGCGCCGGTTGTTGAAAGCATTTAGGAATGAGCTGGCAGGTGGAAACAGTCTTCGTGTTTCTCTCTCTCTCTCTCTCTCTCTCTCTCTCTCTCTCTCTCTCCCTCTCTTCAAGTACAGTGAAAAAATAAAACTTTTTAAAATGATGGACCTAGGGGGCAGATGTATGCATGCCATGTTTGCAGCGGTAAGAAAGGCGCACAGATCCCCCAAAGGGGATGGTCAGCTAAGGACCTAAGGCACCTCCACTCAACACCCAACAACACAGTACTACCTTGTACATGCACAAAGCTGGGTGCTCCTGCCCCGCCCCTGAACGAGCAATCAAGCCTCGTAAAAGCACATGATCTTTCACCTGGGCCACCAGCATCCCATATGAGCACCAATCCAAGTCCCGGCTGTTCTGCTTCTAATCCACTTCCTTGCTTACAGCACAGGAACCCAGCATTGGATGTTCCAAGGCCTCGGGACCCTACACACCAAAGTGGGAGATCCAGAAGGAGCTCCTGGCTCCCGCCTTCAGACTGGCCCAGCTCTGCCCATTTGGGGAGTGAGCCAGCAAGTGGAAAATCCTCCTCTCTGTCTGTATGTCCCTACCTCTCTTGCAGCTCTAACTTTCCAAGTAAGATAAATAAATCTTAAAAAAAAAAAAAGTGCATGGGCATTAGGAATCAGAGTAAGGTGAATACCCAGCTTAGAAATGGACATGAGCTGCAGCAAATGTGAGAGCAGGCAAGGGGATGCCCACTTCCGAGGCGCACACCCTCTGCTGACCAGCCAGCCAGGGCACACAGCATGCGTCTCTCATCCTTCCAAGGGCCACGGAAGCTAGAATCAACTCCGGTATGCTGGAACGGGATGGGGTGAGGACGATGCCCTGCATGGGACTGGGGGTGGGGGGGAGGTCCATAAACCTTCTAAGTGAGCCCAGAGTCCACTGTGTCTCGCCTTCTGAATTCTGTAATTCTCACATTGAGGTAGGGCGAATGGCCCGGTGTGTTTTAACCGCATCTCACCTGTTATCCCAGGCACAGGCAAAAGTGTCTGGAACTCAAGGGAGAGACCCTCAGAGAGACCACCCTCTCCTGTCCCCACTCCCACTCCGCACGCACACCCTCGCGGAGAAAACCACGCCATGCACATCCCGTACCCCGGTTTCTGGGCCGAGTGCCTCGTGGCCTCCATGGTGTCCGACCGACAGGTTCCTGAACTTTTTCACGCACTCTGCAAAACTATTCGGCGCGTTCCGTGACCTTACTTGTCCTGGCACTTCCTGCCTGCTGTCAGAGCACTTGGCCAGGCCCAGCACGGGGGCGTGTCCCGGCCGAGCGTGCTCCCCTGGCGGGCACGTTTCGCCTGCGAGGGTTGGAGTCCAGCCACCCACCTGTGACCCCGCCCCAGCCGCTGCCTGCCGGAGAGCTAGCACCTCGCGGAGGCCAAGCGAGCGCCCGCCGGCTCTACTCACCACCTCGGCGCCGCTTCTCTGAGATGGCTCTGTCCCGGTCCACGCGTGCGAACGCGCGGCCCCGCGGGTCCAGGGCGGTCCGGGGGCCCCTACGCGCCGCGCCCGCGCCCGCTGCTGCCGCCGCCGCCTCCAGGTCTGCGTGCGCGCGTGCGTGAGCGCGTGCCGGCCGGGCCCGCGACCCGCAAACGGGGTCGCCGTCGCGGCTCAGCGCCCGCCGGGCTGGCCGGGAGCGGAGACGCCGCGCGCCCTGCCCGGTGGGCGCCTGGCCTCGCCCCGAGCCGCGCGCGCTCTCGCGCGCCCGGGCGCCTGCACAGAGGGTCCCCGCGGCCGAGCGGGTGGTGGCCGGCCGGCCGGGAGCCTCCTTAGCGGAGCCCCATGATGTCAGCCGGCCGGGAGCAGCGGCCGCGCAGCGGTGAGGATGGGGCCGAGGACGCCGCGCGGCCGCCCGCACGCCCCTCGCCCTCGGACGGCAGTGCCCACCCGAGCCCCGGCTCGCGCGCCCCGTCGCCCGGCGGCCCCGCAGCTACCGCCGCGCCACCACCCCCGGCCCAGCCTCCCCCGAGCCTGTGGCTGGAGCTCGGGCCCGCCTGCATGAGGGCACAGCAATGCCCCAGCGAGTCAAGCGGCCAGACAAGCGGCGGAGACCCCGGCACTAGCAGCAGCAGCAGCAGCAGCAGCAGCGCCGGACTGTCCCCGGGCTCCGACTCGGACAGCAGCGGCGTGGTGTGCGGGGGCCGCGGCAGCAGCGGGGGCATGCGCGGCGCCCTGTCCCGCTCCTGGAGCCTGGAGAGCCTGCGCTCGGCCACCGCCGGTAAGGGCGCCGCCGCCCTCCGCGCCCAGTGCGCGCGCTCTGTCCTCTCCCGCTCCTTTACCTCCCCTGCCCTCAGCACCGTCTTTCCTCTTCCCCCTCTTTTTCCGTTTTTCATCTCTACCTCCTCGTCCCTTCCTCCCCCGTGGCGTGCCCAATTCTGTTTTTCCCCTTTCCTGTTGTTCAACTGATCCTCTGCTCTGCCCCGGCTACCTAGCACATTTCTGACAGGCGGACACCTGTTACGGCCTATGTATGAGCCAAGCGCATCCTCAGCCGAGGAAGCTGAGCGTTTGCGGTGAGACAAGAATTTGGCTGGGTGTGCTCGCCCCGTTTTCTGAACTATGTGTTAGTGACCTGTAGCACTTCTCTGGCGCTTTGACCTCTGTCTCCAAAGTCGGGAAAAGGAAGGCGAGCCCGGTGGTTGAGGGTGGGCAGGTGCGCCACCTGGCTGTGCGTGCCCCAGCTGCTGGCCCCCCAGGAGGGCTGCTTCAGGGCGCTCTGGAGCAGGAGGACTGGCTCTGTTGGAAATCCCAGAACCTTTGTGGTGCCCCCCTGTCAACTTAGAGAGCCCGGTTCTGGCTACTGGCTGAGAGGAAGGTTTTGGCTCTGAGAGGAAGTCCAGAGTGGTTTTGTGAGCGGGCTCGCCTGTCCTCAGCCCCTTGCTCTTTATCTTTTGCTGCATGAAAGTATCGTGAGCGTCCTGGGTGGGGCTGCGAAGGAGGACAGCTGCTGCCTGGAAATCAGCGAGCTGGAGCAGCCCTGGTGCTTGTGGGCAAGGCTGGGAGTGCGGCCTCTGGAACCTGCAGGGCACTGCCCCCCAACAGATGCTGAGAGGGACGTGGTGTGCCCCAGTCAAAGGAGCCCTGAGGGTCCCTCTCTTCCTTTCCCCGGAGGCAGCGCGCGCCCTGCTGGCAAGGACTGTGACTGAAGGGATTCTGGCGGGGCTGTGAGAGCAACCCGAAAGGGCAGGCGCGGGGTTTGGACTTGTTGCTGCTGTTCAGTGAACTTAGAAAAGGGAAGTGAACGACACACAGGAACTTCTGCGGTGAACGCTGCCTGGCTCCCAGAGCCAGCGCATTAAACTCAGTGAAGTTCAACAGTCCCGTCACTGGTGCCTCTGCCAATCGGAAGTTCCGTCCCTCTGAGTCCCTCCGTGTCCCTTGAAATACTATTCCCTCCTTCCTCACACTTAAATTGAACCTCCTTTTGAGAAAGCCAAGCTGGATAATACCCTAAGGGGTTTGAAGCGTAGGAACAAAGAACCCCTGCCCCTCTTTCTGCGCCGGTGGCTTTCCTTCCACTTCTGGGGAAGCTGCTCTCACCTCAGCACCTGCAGACCCAACCCAGGAGGCTCAGGAAAGGGGGCCCCCGGTCTCCCTAGGGAGTCCTCCTCCATTCTTCCTTCTGTCCCATGGCACATGCACCAGTGAAGAGATGGAGAGGGCAAAGACCTTTATTTTCGTTGAAAACCCTGAGACTGAGGGACTCCCCAGCCCTGTGCAGGAGCACAGAGGCAGTCCGGAGGAGTTTCAGAGAGAGAGCAGCCATGCTTGGCTGAAGGTCTGAGGCCTTGAAGTATCTGTCTTAGGCAACACATCAACTCCTTTCTCCTCTTCAGTGAGGCTGTTGGCCATCCTTGCGAGAAAGTGTGAAGACAGGCACTAAAGGAATTCTCTTTGGATGTGTGGTTCAAATGAGGACATCTCTGGAAAAAGCTGCCAGAGAGGAGAACTTAGTGGGAAGGAAAAGAGAAACTTAGATTCTTTGGGCAACTTTCTGCAGCTCAAGAACAATGTTCTCTATTCATCTGGATATGAAAACAGCCTCAGAGAGGTAGGGCCATTGACCCAGAGTTGCCCAGGCCTGGACTGTTGTGACTGTGATGGGGTTTGGAGTGGGGAGCGGTCTCAGGCTAGGCTAGGAAAGGCCGAGTGCTGGTCGGGTTGACCCGTGGAAGCAAAGCTGTGGTTCCACACCCACACTCACGCTGCCGATACCAACAGTTGTGACCATTTTTGTGGATGGCAGCTTCCCCGTGTGCAAACCAGCTGAAGCTCAAAGGTCTGGTGTTTGTTCAACCCAACTGTGAACTTGCCTGATTCTAGCACACGTATTAATTTGGAGTGGGCCCTTCCCCAAGCTTGCGCTTGTGGCCTCTCTTGTGTCTCAGTTTGAATCTGTTTGTGCACCTGTGACACAGCACCTGTGTATGCAGTTCAGTTGTGTTCCTCTTGCAGGGAAAAAAAAAAACCTGCTACCAGCAAGAGATTCTTCAGCAAAATGCATTGTTATCTTTTGATGGGTGAGGGGAGAAGAGCTATGGTATGGCTACTCTCTCCACACACACACATACATGAATATATTGCAGTTTCCAGCAAAACCCAGAAAGGCTAGTACTTGGGCTTGACATCCCAGCTTGCCTAAAAAGCAAAGCATTAGGGGAAAAAAAAACAAAAAACAGGCAGGAGCTGCAGTCTGCAAGTTGCAAATTAAATGTCCAGCATTGGCATTTCCCACCGAAGTGTCATCTGTCCTGCTGTGGAGAAGAATGTTCTGGAAATCAGAATCCATAGACGAAATGGGGTTGACAGAGTGGAATGCCCATGGCCCATCTTTCTGTCCCAGTGTCCTCATCTCCCGTTAGCGTCAAAGCCTACAGAGCCCTTGGCTCTTATCACGCTGCTGTGACTTGACTAGGGCTTTTTCAAATTTCCACCCTGTACATGTTGTCTGACAAGCTGAATCCTCAGTCTGGGTTTCTGAGATTGACAGCTGTTACTCCCTCAGCCTTGGCACAATCTGTGTCTCCCATCTCTTCTCATGGGAGAAGATCTATGTCACCTCCACAGCCTGCAGCAGATCTCAGGGGCGTGGGGAACTTGGGTGGGAATCAGGTGTTTGAGCAGGCAAGGTCACACATTTGTTTATTTTTTTTTTAAGATTTACTTATTTTTACTGGAAAGGCAGATATACAGAGAGGAAGATCCTCCATCATTGATTCACCCCCCCCAAGTGGCTGCAATGGCCAGAGATAAGCCAACCCTAAGCCAAAAGCCAGGAGCTTCTTCTGGGTCTCCCACATGGATACAGGGTCCCAAGGCTTTGGGTTATCCTCGACCGCTTTCCCAGACCACAGGCAGAGAGCTGGGATTAGAACTGGCACCCACGTGGAATCCCAGTACGTGCAAGATGAGGACTTTAGTCACTACCATGCTGGGCCACACATATTTGTTTTTATTCGAAAGATAGATTTACAGAGAAGAGACAGAGAAAAAGATCTTCTGTCTACTGGTTCTCCAGACAGCCAGAGCCAAGCTGATCCAAAATCAGTTCTCCTGGGTCACGATGCAGTCGCAGAGTCCCAAGGCATTGGGCTATCTTCTAGTGCTTTCCCAGGCCACAAACAAACTGGAACACTAACTCGTGCCCATATGGGATCCAGGCTCTTAAGGGTGGAGGATTAGCCAATTGAGCCATTACGCAGGGTCCAAGATGACACATTTAATGCTTGTTGTGAACACAGTCCCAGGCCCCAGACATGGTTGATGAATCACAAGGGTTCCCTGCACTTAAGGAAATCATTGCCCATAGCAGTGGGTGTTCAGCCTGGTGATTAGGACACCCACATTGAGTGCCTGGATTCGATTTCTGGCTTCGGATCCTTATTCCAGCTTTCTGCTGCTTCAGTCCCTCGGAGGCAGAGATGATGACTAAAGGAATTGAATTCCTGCCACCCACTGGGGGAGACCTGGATTGAGTCCCTGGCTCCTGGCTCCAGTCCAGTCTAGCCTTGGCTGATGGAGACATTTGAAGAATGATTCAGCAACATGGCAGCTCTCTCTCTCTCTCTCTCTCTCTCTCTCTCTCTCTCTCTCTGGCTGTCTCTCACACTCTATGTCTCCACCTTTCACATAAGATGAGATTTCTGAGAAGTCATGGCACAGAGAGAAGCAGACAAAGTTGCCCCCACGATGCACGCTGTGAGGGAAGTTAGCTCAGCAGAGTGATGTGTGAAGGGTGCCAAAGGCGCATCCTCAGCCAGGAATTTGCTGCAAGGAATCAGAGCTCAAAGATGCTGGTGTATCACAATGACAACAGAAAGATGAAAATCAGTGAAGACCTGGGAGAGACAGAGACACAAGCTCCCAGGTGTCCTTTCCCATGGAAATGCATGGATTGCACTTAATTTGTCCAGCCATGCTATGTGACTGCATGTGCGCCTGTTGCCAATGGCAGAGTTCCCCAAGTCTCAGTGTCCATTGTTGGTTATTTTTTCACTCAGTCTCCAGCCCCTGCAGAGGGCATGCTGATGCAGAGTAGCTCAAGGTCCCCATCGTAAGCCACATAGTTGGGATCAACTATCCAGCATGGCCAAGGCCCTGAGTGTGATATCAGCAGGATATTCCAAGGGCTTCCAAGGGATCTGCTAGGACATGGTCCAGTTCCGTCTTCAGCCAGGACTTCAGTGCATGAATGAAGATCAGAGAAGATGTGGGGAGGAACGGACAGGAAGAACTTTGGTCCAGGGAAACCTGTAATACCTGCTAATTGCCTGGGCTAAGGGGCAGAAGAGACTCATGTGGCCAAATGCACAGTCTGTGTGAAGGCAAGTAAGGCCCGTGTTCACTTCACCCCTGCACTGGCTCCTGCAGGATCTGTCGGTGTGCAGGAACTGTAGCCGGTATGGAATGACAAGCCTGACAAGAATCACAGCCTCAAACCAGGCTGGGGCTGCAAAATAGGAAATCTGGGCTAGTGTGCCACTCAGAGCCGTGGAGTCCCATCTGTGCTTACCCCAAGTCTGTAGTTTCAGTGGGATCCAATGTATCATCCTTCTGTAAGGGGACATCATTCTGGTTCAGTATTAAGAACTGGTTAGCCTAAAGTCACAGAGTACCTGCTATGTTTCCTTCTAGAACTACTGTGGTTTCATAGTCTAGATTTAAGTGTAGAATCTGTTTTTGAGTTACCTGGAGTTTGGAATAAGGGATAGGATTCAT